CCTTGGAGAGCATGGAGTGAGTTGGATCACTGGAGTTCGGGTCGTTCCATACGACGAATTGCTGGTCAGAGCTCGACTTTACCACGGCGCCCGATCCATCCTGCAGGGCCTTCGAGACCTTCTCGATGATGGGTCTGATGAATGGTGCAAGAAGCGACATGATGAACACCGTGATCTTCTCGCTAATAGTCTCCACTAACTTTTCAAGCCCTGGGATCTTAGCGATAGTGGCATTGATGGACTTGACGATCTTGTCACGGAACTCTAGTATGGGATAGATCCGAGCAATGGTCTTCTGGGCATCGAAAGCCGGGCTCATTCCTGGGATTCCAGGGCCGGGAGGTCCGCCAACAGAGCCGGGGGGGGCTTGGAATGTCTGGCCTCCAGAGGCTCTGGTGGCCTCGTTCTCATATTCTTGGGCCTGCGACTGGGCCTGGAGATCGCGAGCTTGGCTTGCTAATCCTGATCCTTGGCCTGGGATTTGGGACAGGAGGTTCAAGAAATCATCGCCACCGTTGGAACCTGAGCCGAAGAATCCGCGGGTTCCTTCACCCTTGGTTGCAAGCTGGGCGTTCAAGAGAGCTAGGTCCATCTCCTCAATCTCGGACTGGGTGAAGTGGTCTGTGGCTTCTCCAAGCATCTGCTAAGGTCAGTTGGGTTCCTATAGAGAGGAAGTTGGATGTGGACTTACAGAATGCAAGAAGTCTACAGCACCAAACGTTCCGGTCGTCAAGGGGTAGACGTGTTTGCCATTCAGGTTGATCTTTGTTGCACTTCCAACGTGTGGAAACACGTCATTGAAGCCAAGCTCGATAAGTGCAAGCTCGCAGTAGTTGGTGTGAGCACCCCAATCCTGTTTCTCATGTTAGAAACTATAGTATAGGCTTCATCGTGGTGTCGGCGATGCTTTAACCACATACCTCAAGACAATGAAGACTTTGACCCAAGCACCTAAGAGCCTCGCTCAAGTCTGCATCTTTGCCGCTAGATCCACCTCCACCATGAGTGTAAACGCGGCCAAAGTGAATACTTCTTGTTACGCTGTATCTGATGTAGCCAGAGCTGGTTGCCCATCCACCACGGTCATTGGCGATGTAATTCTTCATACCTGTGGCAGGATCGATCAAGAGCTCCTCTTTCTGGATGGGGCCTCTGAGACGGGGATCGTACTTCCTTGCGTCCTCGTTGTCAGCATAGTCCTTGGGGTTGTCAATGTGCTCCTCGGGGCGGTAGACACCGAGTCTCTCCTCGGTGACCTCGAATTCCCCGGTGGCATAACCGAAAGACAAGAAACTCAGAATCCAAACCTAGATTATGGTTAATTATGTTTCTTTCTCACTATAGCTTTAATAGTTCCACGAATGGCAGCGGGTAATGTTAAGTGACGTCTTACCAGAATACGAATCGTGGGAGCAGGGACTCCCTTCACGGAGCCAACATCAATAGCCTGACTGCAGAGATATTAGTGACTTTCCGCAGTATTAAATATCAATATAAAATTCACCTGTAGTCACGCAGCCAATTTCCAAAATAAACCCTCTTAATCATCATAGTCGACCACTTGTGGCCCTTAAGAAACGCCACTGTCTTGAGCATATCCTCGATATCGCCATGACGCCAGTTCTGCCCTTCGACAGTCGAAATACCTGGAATATTTCCAGCTCCAAATGCCAGAGCCGGCGCTGGACAGAGCACCAGGACGAGACAGAGGACGAGAAAAACGCTTCCACGTGATGAGAGCGACATCGTCATAGCTAAAAGGAGGGGCAATGGGGCGTTGAAGGGTCCTCGCGGCGGGAGTTAAAAAGAAGGGTCGCCTTTCTAGCTAGGGGGGGATGGGGTCGAATGTCTGAAGAGCACTTTGCAGACAACACAATGCTCGGAGGGAGTAGGAGGTGTCGTTGGTGGGATGTTGACTATTTGCAAACAAGAAATGGTAGGTTGGTTGGTTGGTGGGGTAAACACTTGGCATGAGTTTGGTCGCATCAGCTCAGAACAAGCAAGGAGGAGGCGGCTTCAGCAGGCAGACACAATTACTGTGTTCGGGTAAGAATGGATATTGGTATTAAAAGCGCATGGAATTTCCTCTCTGGTCCAATCTTTGAGTGACTGGCTTATTAGAGTCTTTACTTTATTTACAACTGTACAACTGTAAATAAAATACAGACTGTTAGCAGTTCAGGCTTGGCCTCACTCATCCTCGGACTTTTTGGGCATAAATACTCTTACCACCAGAGTGAATATGGACACACAGCATAGGAAGTACAGCTGCTCACACGGAAATATAACTGGTCGTATAATAAATAACCCATCTCAGACAAGACAGAGACAGATTACTACAAAGACAACAAAAGAGACAACAAAAGGCATAGGCTATGACCATAGGCTATGTCTTTTGTAAACAAATCTAGAAGTACAAAGTACCTCCTTGGCCGTGCCGTCCACCGCACATCACAATGTACTGGTACATGCCAAAACTTAATAAGCAATGCCGCTCATATGCCAGATTCGTTGCCCCGTGCATTTTCACGCATTTTCACGCATTTTGTCTCCGAGCGCTCCGATTTTACTGACTACAGCGCTTACTAACACTGCTAAACATTTGTTAAACACCGCTAAACACCGCTAGCGCCCAAGAAAAACAGCCCAAGTTCCACCCAAACGTACCCACGCCCCTGCCGCAAAATGTTGACCGCATAACGTTTACCAGCCAAACCACTCAAACCACCCAAATCGGTCCCCTGCAAATTTCATATGCCACCGACCACCGACGCGTACTCCCGCCCTTCCGGGCCAAAACGAAAAAGAAAGATCTCCTGAGCTGTGAAGAATATAACTTGCACCCCAATCCCAGAGCACACTTAAAAGAGCTACAACTCCCTTTGCAAGCTTCAATTATTTATTATCGCCCTCGACTACCGTTTATACACATTGCAAACTCTTCACTGCGGTACTCGCTCCGCTGTGAAGACCGTTGCTGCCTGTTATTTAGTTGGGCCCCATATCCACCCTCCCCTCCTTTTTGTCGATTAAGCTATTCGCCGCTCACCCTACCCTCGAGATCTCGAGTCCCGACACTCCTAAAAGCACACATTATTTGCTTTATTATCGCTGTCTGTCCCTTCAAACATCATCATCATGCCGTCACGGACTCTCCCAACATTCACCAAGGCGGAGGTCGAGTCGCATAACACCGCCACAGACTGCTATGTCACCCTGGGCGAGAAAGTCATCGACCTCTCCGACTTTGTCGACTCACATCCCGGTGGTGGAGATCTGATCCTCGAATACGCTGGAAAGGATGTCACAGAGATTCTGAAAGACGAGGTCTCGCACGCACACTCGGACGCTGCATACGAAATCCTCGACGACGGCCTCATTGGCTTCCTCTCCGACGAATCCACAGACTCGAGTCTCAAGCGCAGAAACGTGAACCAAGCCACACTAAACGGGAACGGAGCAGCAAACGGCAAAGCCACCGGCGCCCTCGACGACGAGGGGCGCATGGTGTACGAGGCAACCGGAGTCGGCTCCGCGGAGGACCTGTCCAAGGACACGGATCTCGTCGACGACTACAAGAAATACAAGTTCCTGGACCTGAACAAGCCGCTCCTGATGCAAGTCTTCTTTGGAGGCTTCAGCAAGAAATTCTACCTCGAGCAGGTCCATCGGCCCAGGCATTACAAGGGTGGCGATTCCGCGCCCATCTTTGGAAACTTCCTCGAGCCGCTTAGCAAGACTTCTTGGTACACGATTCCGATTCTCTGGCTCCCGCAGGTGGCGTATGGATTATATCTGTCTCATGAGGGCCTGGGTAACTTGGGGGTTGTCGCCTTTTTCGGATTGGGTCTGTTTATTTGGACACTCCTGGAGTATGGCCTTCACAGATGCCTCTTCCATCTCGACCAGTAAGTTCTTCCCATTCTACAACTCCGATCTGGCCCAGGTACTAACTATCAATGTAGAAAACTCCCAGATAACCGCGTGGCCATCACCCTACACTTCCTCCTCCACGGCGTCCACCACTACCTCCCCATGGACAAATACCGTCTCGTCATGCCCCCCACCCTCTTCCTCGCCCTCGCAACCCCCTTCTGGAAGCTCGCCCACACCATCTTCGCATTCAACTGGTACATGGGCACCGCCGTCTTCTGCGGCGGCGTCTTCGGATACGTGGTGTACGACCTGACGCACTACTTCCTGCACCACGCCAAGCTCCCCGAGTTCTACCAGGACACGAAGAAATGGCACATGCAGCACCACTTCATGGACTATGAGAACGGCTTCGGCGTTACGAGCCGCTTCTGGGATAGAGTCTTTGGCACGGAGCTTATCATGACACAGCCGGCGCCCAAGATCGTGAAGTCGACTTGAGGATTTGANNAGATAGATGGGATGTATATCAAAATTGTAATGGATGGGAAGGCTCACGAATAACTGGTAATTGACAGAGACCAAAACGCAAGATTCGTTGAGGATGGAGTCTGGGGCTTTATGGATGGGCATGGGTTTGATGAATAGCACGGCTGGGATGACGGCCATTAATAGTAATAACGCAAGTACAACGCAAGTACATAATACCACTCTGTACATTATCTGGAATAATACAGACTTTGAATCAAATGAAAAGTTAAAATCCACTCTATTTATACTGTGCAAGTTATAATGTGAAAAACACTGGCATAATACCACTCTGTAAGGGCTGGGAGACTCTGTAAGAGCTGGGAGTCTTAAAAAAAAGAAAAAAAGGCAAAGGTAAAGGTTAAATCCCGCCACCGCATTCATTCTTTTCAAATTATACCTCTCAAGTTAAAATGTGAACTGAAATTTAGCTGAAAACAGTACACAGTGTGAAACAAGGATGTTGACAATAAGGGTCGGGACAAAAGTGCCGACCCAAAATTTATACGATATGGCTGCCTTACCCGTCCGGATTTTCGCCTTAGAAAATAGCGCTATGCCACCACAAGACCAACTTCTATCCTGTCTGTCGCATCCCTCACAAACTTCTCACAACTAACATCAACATAAACCTACCACACACGACTGGGTAGCAGCAGGAACCTATCAACAACATATCCTTCTCACAAAGGAAAAAACAGAAACCTGCAGAAAAGAAAAGGGTCTGCTCTCTTCGCCTAGACATTTCTCTTGACGTGCCTAACCCACCTGAAGTGAACCCTCCCCCATCCACAGCAGAAACCAAACCACAAGCCACTCGCCCACCGCTTCCTCCTCACCATGTCCGAACTCGATGTTGAAGCCCTCCTGGACTCCACCGCTGCAACATCTACTGAACAAAATGGTAGTTCCACCACCAAGCCCACCCGCGACGGCGACGACCGCCACCGCACCGAGCGCAACGAGCGTCGCGACCGCGACCGACTCCGCGAGCCCAGCCGGGACAGGAAACACCGTAATCGCAGCGCGGAGATTGATGAGGATGCCAAGAAGCCGGGGAGCGAGCATGGGAGCGCGCAGGGGAGCCAGAAGAGTAGGCGCAGGAGCAGGAGTCGCGATGCTGACAGACGGCATTCGAGGCGTCATAGGGA